ACCAACAAACCCGCAGCGACGGATCCAGGCCATCAGGGATAAGCGAGCAAAGAAGGAAGAGAGAGAAAGATACGAGAAGATGGCCGAAAAGATGCACCGCAAGCGAGTGGAGAGATTGAAGCGCAAGGAGAAGCGAAACAAGCTCTTGAACTCATGAGCCGAGAATCCACGCCGAAGACAGACACTGCGATCAGACTGCATCGGCAAACCCCGTGGTGCGTTCTACATGTTCGTACCGGCGGTATGCAAGAGTTCTCATGCTTGCAACGGATGCGCACCGTGGCATCCGGACTTGGTACGGCCACGAAGCAGCAAGCACTGCAAGCAGTTGGACGGGGGGCTGTAGCGGCAAGCTCTTCACCGCCATGGACTCCAGTCGCTGCTCGCAGTAGTCTGAACTTGGGTCTTATTTGCGTTCTGCAGCAAAAACAGGACTACTAGCTGTTGCGGATTTGCCTGCATCATATGCCCAGTACCTCATGCTAGAATGATCGATATTGTTACTTGGTTTCGCCAGACTGTGGGACTTTGCTGGGATTTCTTTTGAGCTGCGTTGGGGCCTGGATACCTACCTACCAAGGTATAGCACACAGACTCTGTCTTGGTGCTATGTATCTACCTGCATCTTACATTTTACTACGTCTAGTTAGTTACAGTATGGGGCGGCTCTTGCGGATGGGTTTTGGAGGTGTTGCATTTGCACGGCGTTGGGGAGCACATTGATTCAACGAACAGCTATTTGAGACGGAACATGCCGAAACAATAGAAGATTAAAACAAAGAAAGAACTTATAAAAAGAGACAAAGGAAATTGAAGGCGATGTCAATGAATAACGATTGAATTTCTACGCAGAGTGACTGCTCACATGTCTACAGTACAGCTTGAACTTGGTGATCAGCAGCTACAGGCCATGGATGACATGTGAACCGGATTGTCGTCATTTTGCTTGCTGCCGAGCGAGGCCCCACTTAATTTTGTCCGGCGGCATGTTCAACCTGCCCTGCCCAGGCCTCGGTTTTGTGGATAATTGGATGCATGCACGATGCTCGGATGGAAAAGGGGGCCCCTCTGACGGTCCAACCAGCGGCAATGTCGACCCAAAACCTGCCCGAGTCTCCATCCGCAGCCCCAGCCAGGCCTGTGCGGCACGTTCTCCAGCGGTCGGCCACGGAGGTCATGGGCGACAAAGTCCGGAAGAGGCTGGACGACGATGAGACGCCAACACTCCCCCAGATACAGACGCAGGCACAGGCACAGGCACAGGCACAGGCTCACAGGATGCGCCGTTCAGTTGACGTGCCGCGGTCGGGGCCGGTGACGCCCATCATCAGCCCGATCCACAGCCGGCGCGCCAGTCTCTTGATCTCCAAAGACGGCGACGACAAGCTGGACTTTGGGCGGTTGGGAAGGGAGGAAAGGGACAGGGACAGGGACAACAAAGACAAAGAAAAGGAAAAGGTCAAGGTCAAGGAGAAGCTCCAAAAGAACAAGGAAAATGACAAGGAAAAGGCATCTTCCAGCACAGAGTAAGAAGACGTCACCACGGGGCGATGCTGCGAGACGTAAGATTACACACATGCTGATACTGGTTCCTCTCTACAGTGGCCTGCGACAGTCTCTCACGGAGCTCAGCAGCTTCTCGACCGAAACCACCCGCCAGCTAGACCAGACACACTATGCGCTGCTGGAGAAGACGAGCAGCTTGCAGGTCATGGTCAAGGCCCTCAAGGACCTCGCGCAGGCGTCGTGTGACCTCCAAGAGGGATTCGACATGGCCGCGCGCGAGCTCGAGACGGACGTTACAGAGCAGCTACGCGGCATTGGGCACTTTGCATCACAGCAGTCGACGATCGAGACTCTCCAGAGTCGCATACACCTGGGAAGGCAGACCGCCGACAAGCTAGCACAGCGAGTGGATGTGGTGCGCAAACAAATCGAGGGCTGGGAGCGCGCCGACAGGGCGTGGCAAGAGAAGACGCGCAAGCGGCTGAGGCTCATCTGGGCGGCTCTGTTAGTCCTTGTTTGCATCGTTGGCCTCCTCTTCATGGCTTTCAGCTACAATGCCCGCGGCGCCGCAGCACAGGTCAGCCCTGGAGCTCGGGGCGCATGGAGAAATACCACGCCCGAGTTCAAAGGACAGCATCAAAGCGTCGAGCAAGTGCTCGCAGCAAACAACCACGACGACAAACCAGAGACGACGAGGGCATGGGAAACACCACTAGCAGACGAGCCGTTACGGATATTCGACGAGCTATGACCTGAACCCCCAACCGCGACAGGCGAATGCCAAACAAACAAACCCAAACAAAAACTTGTCGACACTGTACGGAGCGAAAGCAACCCGAGGGGCCATTCGCACTGCCAAGACGCAGAGCGGCCAAAGCCATACACATTGGGTGCACAGCACCGCGCCGGCATCGACAGCGCCAACAGGATTTGCATCAATAGCTCGGGGGGACAGGAGCCGGCTTTGGCACGAGACCAGCTGTTCGGCGTCACCGAGCAACACTTTAGCCCACTGCTAGCGATATGCGGAGAACGGACGTGTAGCACTGCTTTGGCCATACTCGTACGGTACCCGGACTTCGCAAAACCCTGCGCCGGCTTCACTGCCACAGTGGAGCTGAGGAAGAGCCAAGCATCCCGAGGTTTGTGCGTTGTTGCTCAGCCGGCGTTTCGGGCTTGCTATTGGACTTGCGAGTTGGATTGGAACAAAGAGCCAAGCAAGGTTCGGCTGGTTGGCTGGGCAAACGAGAGAACGTGCAGAGTTGTAAGATTAAGATTACCTGCCTGCTTTGGATGCAGCTGCTGCGAGTACATGCCATAACGCTGCCACTAATAAGCAGCCTCAATTACTACCAAGGTAGCATGGAGTGCAACTATTCTTTGCCAGGGGTATGAAGACAAAGGACAGACTACATTATGGGTAATACATGATACTATCCTAATTGCAAAGAATTGCCGATCGGCCAAAGCACGGAGAAGACAATGGGCCGTTTGGTGTTGGTGCAAGAGTCGGCGGTTTGAGGATTCAGTGTAGTGTGGGGAAGCTGTAATTGCGATGATGCGTCTGGAGGGTTTGATGGTTATTTGGACTGGACATTTTGGTGTACAACAAACTGCGGCCGTGTACTGTAATACTCTGTAGATCGTGTACTCGTACACAATGCACTTTGACCACAGTATTTCATCAATGTACATGTACCTTTGACCTTTCTACTCGTCGTTGTTGAGAGACGAGAAAAGACGCTCATGAGTGAAGCATTAGTACTAAGGTAGGTATAGGTAGGAACTGATTGGTCTCATGTTTGCCCGCACTGCCAACTTGGCGCCAAGGACCGCGATTTAGCCCCCAATGCCTTTGTCAAGTTGAGTTATACGCAATTGTGTGCAGATGATCTCAATCACCGCAGCAGAAACGAGCTTGATTAAGAAGACTTTGTCGAGTCCTGTCAGACGAGATTACCTTTCTTTTTTTTTTTCTCTCTCTCTCTCTCTCTTACCCCTTTGCTTCCCCTCTTAATTTCGCTGAGAGATGTGGCTGGCAAAAGAATGTCTTGAAATACATGTTCAAGAAAAGTATGTTTGGATGGATCTGCCGCTGTGTGTGTTTTCTCGGCATGGGGGGATCTTGGCGGCGGAAACGGCCATGGCGCCATGATTGAGCCTGGGCGGCTTGTGGCTTTGTTCCGCTGGCTCCGTTCTTTTGTTTCCAGTGTTCCATTTTCGTGAGCGTCGAATGGACTACCCTGTAAGGAAGAAGAGGTTAATGGGGTCTACAGTGGTGATAATACTCGTATCAGCTTGTAGGAGATTGTGGTGACAGTAGCATAGGTATGATATGTTTTGAAACATTCCGTCAGATTTAAAGGGGAAATCTTACTAGATCAATCATATTCATACTTTTTGTATCTGTCCATCAATGACACCTCAACAACGCCGCTGCCGCTGGGGGGGTTGCTGGATTAGTAGCCACATCGCTCCCTAGGGGGCGGCCAAGGCCTATAAAATTATAAAAATCCATCATCACGCTACCCTGCGCCTTAAGCTAGTGATGTCATGCTGAAGCCATGCCGCTGCCATGGATCTGTTCCTTGCTTCTGCTGGCTTGCGCATGTGCGAAGGAAAACGAATTTTTTGCATGGATTCTCTCTTTGTCTCTGTGGAATTAATGTCTCTCGGCACTCGGCCAGGCGGCTGAGGAGGGGCCGAAAATGGGCAGCGGTGCGGCGGTTACAGCACCAGAGTGGCTTGGGATGCTGCAGTCCAACGTCATGTTTCTGGGCCAGAAAACTGCGCCCATGCAGTGCAGGCATTTTGCTTACCAGTGGGATAACGGCAAAACAATCCACCTGCATCGCCGTGATACTTGAGAGGACGACTGGACTGCAGTGTGCAAGGTAGCTTGTAATATGTAGCATGTATGTAGTAATAAATTATGGGGCGCAACAGGGCTGTGGATTTGATGGATGTGGTGTTTTGGTAATACTCTTTGGATTCCAATCTTCTCTTTCTCTTTTCCACTCTCCATCACCACCTTTTAATACGTCGGGCCATTGCCACGATTCTCGACTCCTCTTTGTCTCTTTGTCTCTCTCTCTCTCTCCTCTTTGTTGTGTGCGCGAGATTTGCAACGAGTACCTTGACTACTGGGTTGATTAATAGTTCCTGGCCAAGACAGTTCCCCCCCCTCACCACCCCTCCTCGCCTTTTGTCGAAATCGCAATCGATTCTGCAGCTTTGCGCCCTGCTATTTAGGCGAACCCGCCCAGTCTCGAGCTTACATATTGCTCGGACACAAACTCTTTCCTACCGCGATTTCTTCGCTAGCTACGGAATACCCCGCCAAGAATTCAGCCGGCTCCTCATCCTCTGGCTGACGGCGGCTGTGGCATCTGCTGTCATCCGAGACTCGCAAACGCCTGGATTTTCTCATCTTCGCGTTGCGCCTATTCGTCTTCTGCGATCGCCCTCCTTTGGTGCCATATTGGATTTCGGCCATGACAGTTGCCGAACAGGAACTGCCCGATAGCGGCGCTGCTGTTTCTCTGCCCATTCGCGCCAATGGCTCAGATGTCGCGCCCGCGTCAAGCAGCAATGCGCTGACGGGAAAACAGGAGCACTGTGCGTTTCTTTGATGTTTCTTCCCCTTGTTTGATGCTTTTACCGTTGCGATGGGAGCTAACCAACGATGGCACGGGATAGACTTGAAGAGGGAACTCATCGCAGATCAAGTCAAGTGGGAGATCAGCGAGCTCAATTCCCCCACGGCCCTGCAGCGCTTCGGTGCGCCTTTCAAGTCGGAACAGGGCGAAGTGGCCCCCCAGGAATCCGAGCTGCCGATTCTGCGATACATCTTTGTCAATCATGTCCGCGATTTCCCGTTTCTCGACAAGGCCAAGGAGAAGGAGTTTTGGCAAGATATGCTCCAAGTCGTACGTTGCGCCGCTACACTGTGAGGGTGATTTTATGCTGACACCTTGGGCAGTTTCTCGAGTCGTTTGCCATGAAGCAGATTTCCTCGTCCGAAGACCGTCTGGAGGAAACGAAGCGGCGGAAGCTGGCCATCAAGGCGCAGAAGCTGGTCGAGCTGATGATGGTTTCCGGCATCCCCACCTCGTCCGGGTTCGAAGAGCGCATCAAGTTTTCGGAAATCGAAATCGTAGATAGCAACGCCATCGACAGGGGCGTTATGAACACCCTCCCCGAAGGAAACTACATCAACGGCTGGGACGTCAATGTGGCCGGCGTTCGCGTCACTTCGGTCAAGCGCAACATCAGATACCACAAGCACGCCGAGTTCATTCTCCGAATCAAGAGAAAGGGCGAGCTGGAACACTTTGTCGGGCGCCGATATGGAGACTTTAGCAAATTGCACCGAAGACTGCGCACCGAACTGCCTGGGAGAGTCATACCTGCGCTGCCGAAGAAGAACAAGTCGGATACGCGAGCAACCGGGCTGCTGCCGAGCTTTACTACAGGAAACGACTCTGATGCCTCCTCTGTGTCTTCAGAATCAACTCGGAGGACGAGTAGACTGTCCCAGCAGTTTGGCGCAGCGTCGCTACTAACTCCTGGGGGAGGAGGTAAGTACTTGGCCGAGAGCATTTGTTCTTCCCACTATCAACAAGGATAAAAAGTCGCCGGCTAACTGTTGCGATAGCTTCACGTGGCCCAGGATCAATAAGGTCATCCAAATCAAACCGCTCGAGGAAGGTAGCCTCACCTCGGCCATCTGTCGATGGTCAAGTAAGCTCTGGAGCAGGTACTCCAAATGGGAAACAGGAGGTTAGCATCTACCGCCCACGGAGCTTGTATACAGCGAAGAGAGCTAACATGATGTGCAGTATGTCCTTTGGCGTGAGAACCAGAGAGTCTCGCTCCGCGCTTTCCTACGATCTCTCTTGCACAACCCCCAAATCGCCAATACTAAAGCAATGGTGGACTTCTTCAGCGGTGACCCCATCACACCGACAGACGAGGACGTCGAAGATATCTTGAGGCGCAAGGCACTCGATGAGAAGCGTATGGAGGAGCAAAAGGAATTTTATGAGATTGCTAGGAGGCGTGCTGCTGAGCTTGATGAGTATATGGAACAGTTAGTTGCTCCCTCGAGCCCCTTGACTTTTTTTTTTTCTAACACTATATAATAGGTTCCGGCGGGATATCGTCGAACGCAATGGCCTTACACTCTTGTTCAAAGAGATCAAGGAAAAACCGACGATTGGCGATCTCAGCATTCAATATCGTAAATTTGCCGAGTGGCTGAGGATCGAAATCGCTGCCGTCATATACCACCTCTTCTTGGCCGAAGACAACTCGGCAGACATGTTTGCTCAAGCCAAACGCATTCATTCGCTCGTCCCATATACCGTCATTAAGAACGTCATCCGAATTGCGAATCCTGCAGCCGTCATGTCCGGTATCCTGGACATATTCATTGCCCAACCCTTCGGAGCCCGATCACTCATGCAGCGAATGTTTTCCCTCGCATTGCATGATGGCATCCGAAGCTTCCAGAGGTCTATTGACGCATTGGATATCAAGATTGGCGACCCCGTATTCACCGAAAAGATCAAACTGTACACGAACGCCGAGGAAGACATCAAAAAGGAAATCCGGCGCCAAGCCGAAGAAGAGGACCTTGACATCATCGTGGTGATCTTGCGATCAGATCTTCTCGAACCCGAATTGACGGGCGAGCAGATCCAGCGATTATTCAACGCATATGTCGCCTTTAACAATGCCGTCGAGAACATTGACGAGGAACTGAAGCAAGGAGCCCAGCTCTTCTCCTACCTTAAACAGCTTCTCAAGCTTTGCACGCGCTACAGAGATAAGAGCATGCTGCTACAACTGATTGAGGAGCCTGTTACGCTGAAGCTTTTCCGAGACCTATTCACCATATTCTACGAGCCCCTCGTGCGGGTGTACAAGTCGGCCAACGTATACAATAGCGTCACTGACTTTGCTGTTTTCATCGACGACATGATCAAGGTGGTTGAAAAATGCAGGGAAGACGATGCGTCTGCAGATCCTAACCAGACTGTCCAAGCATTTATCGATCTGTGTGCTAGACACGAGCACAACTTTTACAAATTCGTACACGAGATCCACACGCACGACAATGGTCTCTTTACTCAGCTGATGGAGTGGATCGAGGGCATCTTGGAGTTCCTCCGCAAAGGACCCAAGAACGGCACGCTGAACGTCAACGCCTTGTTCGAAGGCGGCGTCAGCAGCGGCGTCATCAACAAGGACAAGGCAATAAAGGAGATTGACGCCCTGATCGCCTGGCAAGAGGCCCGGAAGAAGTGGCACAGCGATAAGACGCAGCAGAAGATGGCGGCGGAAGGACAGCCGGGTAGCGATATGATGCCGACCGGCTTCAGCTCGTCCGACTTTGGCCTCAACGATGACGACCTGGAGGACTTGGCGTACGACGATGGTTCCGAGACTGAGGCGGAGGACGAGGACGACATGGATCCGATAGATGCTGAGAGGCAGAGAAGGGCCAAGAAGCGCGACCGTCTGCGCCGTTCGGCGGGAGAGCCTGTGAAGCCGGATATCTCCGAGGTTCACAAGCTGAAGGAGAATTTCCTGGTTATGCTAAGGAATGTCTTGGCTGATTAGACGAGAGGGGGGTGGGAATCATGAACAAGGTTTCTTGCGAGCGGCAGATGAGCAACGTTGGGCAGATGCTTTAGAGAGATCATTATGTTAGTTGCGCAAGCGAGGACATGTTTTTTTTTGTCTTGGAAATCGATGATGAAGAAATTATAGAAAACGCATCCGGGTTGTTTAGGATTGCAGAGTAGATGGAGTGAGATTTGAGAGGCAAAGATTTGGAGTTCTTTTCGTTCATTGACTACCCTTGGAAGCAGATATCCTTGTTGTATGAATTGTGGTAGAAAACTGAATAAATCTCTTCTTATAAAGACGCTGATGTAAGGTATATTAGTAGTTCTCCCAACGTGAATATGTCGACAAAAAAAATCCACCTGACAATCTAGACGTAATCATATATTTGAGCCTACTTTTCTTATTCTTCAGCCATTTCAGCCTGCAATTGAACTTCTATACACACAATTAGCCTAGAAGAAGAAGACAATGTAGATATTGTGAGATGTAAACCACTTACGCCATAGCCGATTCGCCGAAGCTGATATCACATTTGCTTTGGCGAGTAGCTTTTCTTCATATTTCTCGTCAATCTTCCCCTTGATACGCAGTTTATTCGGCTGGGCCTGATTGGAAAGGTCATTAGAGAATTTGTACGTAGGGCTTACTCATGCCATTAAAGAACTCTTCAACTTACTTGCATCAGAATCAGAACCAATTCCTTTGGATCGGCGTTTGCTATAGCACCGACGGTTCGATATCCGTTCTCCCAAAAGACTCGACTGAATCAGTAGTATGAGCATATTCTGTCTTTTGTATCGCTTTGTAAGGATTCGAATAGTGTACTCACGCCGTGCGGCTCTTGATGAATGGAATCTTGGCGAGTTCCAGTAGGTCCGTCCTTGCACCGGCCATCAGCCTGTCCGAAAAGTGTTCCAGCGCAGCAGCCATGATGCTTCCCACCTTGTCAGTCTATGGATGAAAGAAAAAGGAGGGTGGATTGTATCTTACCCCCATCCCATGTGCTCGCAAAACTTAATCATGCCTGCCGCGAAGCCCTGGCATGTCTGCGCAAGTGTCTGCACAGAACCTCGAGGTGAGTCGTACTTTCGCGCAACCACATGTATCGGCATCTCATTGCATAAATCTCGCAATTGCAGTGCCAGATAGAAACGACGGTATATACGGGCCAACTCCCTTTCTTCGGGTGTATTCTCCTTAAGTGGAACTCCCTGAGCACTTGAGATGTCGTTAGCGAAGCAACATTGACAAGAAAGGGACTCGCGATAGATATCCCTTACAGCTTGAGAACGGCCGTCGGCTTGATACCCAGAAAGCCAAGGACTCGAAGCCCACTCTCGTCTAACGCGTCCATCTCGTTGCGAAACACTTGCCAGTTGACTATGATGCCGAAATCTTGAACCGGAGTAAAGACATAGAGAATGTGCATTTCGCCATCCATGACAAAGGCCTTGAGCGTCTTAGTTAGTTCGGCATGTATAAAGACTCCATCGTAGGGATCAACAGAAGAGGCAACGATGGCTTTGCCCAATTGCGTCGCTGCAAAACTCGAGGAAGAATCATGAACAATTAGCCCTAAATCGTGGATCTCTTCCAGCCCTGAGGTTAGGCATTTTTCTACAAACTCTCGATCGTGAGTATAGCTTATTAGAGAATTGGAAAAATATTCGAGGAGAGACTCATGACTGTTTGCTAAGCGAACGGAAATGACTTCCAAAATGGCCCTTGCTCAAATGTCAACGAATGCCATGCTTGTCGGCAAACTGAAACAGTGTCTTACCGTTGAACCCGCTTGTTTTCGGTGTTGAGACAACTAGCAATCTCTGGGATATCCGCATACATGAGATCTAAGACTTGCTCTAGGTCGTCTTGGCGACAGCAGAGATATGTCTCTCCAACGGGCGATTTGCCCTGCCTTCCGGCACGACCTCTCATCTGTCGTAGCATAGAGGGGCCGACGAATTCACGCCCCATCCTTGCATTATGAAGGATCACCCTTCGAGCAGGACTGGTGCATTGTAATTAGTGAGTTAGGCGTGTCGCGATCCAGGTAATTGAGGAGACGCACAGATTGATACCAGCTGCCAGACTGCAGGTGGCGACGCATATTAGCAGTGTGCCAGCATCATACGCTTCGGCAATGAGATCTCTCTCCTCACTCGTTAAGCCCGCCTGCTCAGGTCAGCTAATATGCACACTTCCTAGAGAGATGAGATAGTGGTGCACACACATCTGAGGACTCGTAGTTAGCATATGAAATTTGATGCCAAAGAGGGAGACTTACGATGAAATGCAACGCCGGACAAGACGGTTTCCTCCAATACAGGATCGGCTCCTGTACTGAGACTTCGTAGCTCACTCAACAGATCCATCCTTTTGTCCATAGTCTTGCTATCCACTTCGTGCGGTTGGGGCATTACTCTGCTGATCAGGCGAGCATCCGACTCGCAAATGCCTCGGCTACCAGCGAATACTAAAGCGCCATAACCCATCAGGGCTGTCTCATGTGCCAAGGATACCACGGCGTTGAGGACGGGATCGCGAAATTCCTTATGGCTGGATTCTTCGATTTGTCGCGTAGGATCTATCTGAGCTTTTGATATCTCCTCGACTTTCACCTGTCTTTGGGCCGCAGCACCGTTGGTACCGATGTGGTAGACTTTTCCTTCGCAGACTAGGTGTTCTTCGATTGGTATCGGCCTATACCTAGTTTCGTAAGAATGTGCATTAAGCCATTTGGCAACCAGGCTTGCATTCTAGTAAATTGTCAGACACAGGAAAGGCGTGAGGTTTATCTAGTACGTATGACTTACAGGAAGAGTAGCGCTCATGCCAATGATCTGAATGGGCTGTTCTAAACTCAGGAGTTTAGTTGCTATCAGCTCGAGAAGATACCCACGATGGTCATCATCAATCATGTGAAGCTCGTCGAGAACTACAGCTCGCAATTGGGATATGGAAGAGTCTTCAATGGCGGTATTGATGAGCATGTTGGCCTGAATTAAAAAAACAAGCCTGTTAGATATCATGCAGAAGCATTAGATCGAGTCAAATAAGACAAATCAAACCTTTTCCAGGGTACATATGCCGATATCGAAATCCTGCCAAGTCGATCGAATTTTGCCGCCACCAAAGAAGCCGATGACCTTGATAGAATCATGGTCTGGACGAAGTCGCCATATACTATTGGCTCTTTGCTTCTCCAGCGCTTCGGGATCTAGGTTTGCGGTAAGTCCCTGAACGACGCTCCGTAGCCAGCGAACCTTTTCTTGTACAAGGGCAACATATGGGAGAATAAGGAGGGCTTTGGTCTCGGGCTCTTCCGTTATCCTCTTGAGCATGAGTACTGGGCAAAACATCAGCTGCTTAACCCAAGGCAATATTATAGATACAACGAGATGGGCTCACAATCAGCAACAAGAGACTTGCCACCGCCGGTGGGAGCACAATAAACCAGATTTTTAGCACCTGTAAGCAAGCCTGGTCCTTTGAGGCAGTTTTTCTGCCATGGATAGATTTGCCTAATTCCAAGGGAAGCAAAATTATTAACGAGCCGAGGCGGTAGATTATATACAGGATAGGCAAGATCGAGCTCGGGGTCTATGGTAGAAGATGGCGTAGCAGCAAAAATACGCCTCTGGGTATACTCGGAAGGGCCTTCTGGTGCATTAAATGCGATGATTTTGCTTGCAGAAAGTCTGGTGGCCGGTGGAAGGAAATGGAGAGCGCTTTGAAACCGGACCGAGCCTTGGGAAGAAGCTGACGCGGGAGCAGCTGTAGTCGCAGTAAAGGCAGATCCAGATCCAGATGCAGAAGACGGCTCTTTTCCGTTCTCATCACCAATGCTCATCGACCAGGTCCTCTTTTGCCCAGCCAGCTGCCGCTCTCGAGCTTCTTGGAGGCTCGTCTTGTACAAGATGCCCCTCATGCTCTCCATGATGGAGGGGAAGCGCGCGCGCGACAAGCACCTATGAAGAAGGGCGATTCATCGAGATGCACACAGAAAGAGAACCAAGAAGGTAACAAAGAAAAAATCGCAAGAGAGGAAAAAAGGAAAGGAAAAAGAAGGTTCGATGAATGTTTCAGTCGGTTAGCAAATCATGGTGTATGTTCAGCTTCTTTAGGCAGAATGTGACAAGGATGTGGATGGAGTACAAGTAGAGCGTGATGCCCCAAGTACAAGGTACGAGTGCTCGAGATCCTGTATGAACGAACATAACGCGAAATCACGTGCGGTGCTTACATAACATAGCTGATTCGATCCGAACGCGTTTGAAGCCGCAGGAAATGTACCTGTACTTGACATCTACCTGCCAACCAGCCCTTGAAGACTCCGACGGTGGTATGCTACTCTGTACATTAGCGGCCCTGTTTCATTTCTCTTCCTCGGCCTCAGCCTTGACGAATAACGAAGCGCAGTTGAATCTACAACGTGATGGAGGCCCACTACCGCCATCCTGTGTGCCTACTAGGCGCTCTCTGAAGGTTACTAGAGCTTACTAGCGAGGGGCGCGACATGCTTGTCATGGAACTAGGCTCGTTAACATGGACTTCCACCCACGTCTTCTCTAGCAAAAGAGTGAATATGTTGTAGGGAGAACACTTGTGAATGATACAGGTACCTGTTGCCACAAGTATAATAGAACTACTGGATGTCCAGGGTAGATCTAATAACAGTACAGAAGACAAGATACTGTATTGGGGAGGTTCCGATGTCTCTTCTCATTTGCCGTGTCATCCCCCACTTGTCGATTTGAGCGCCCCGCAGCTTTTCATTGGTCGTCAGCCGAAGCGACGCAATTACTCCGGGCATATGAATTTTATATCGGAAACTTGTTGCAGAACTGCCCAATCGATCTTCTCTCTTGCCAATGCCCAGTATCACTTACATTGCCTACCAAGTATCTCATTCATTGAAGTTAATGCGACGCCCATCATTATAATCGCCACGCGACAATGCCAATACTGTACTTTATATATGCCTTGTTCAAAAATTAGGGATGAGTCGGCTGATAACCTGACGATGGCTCCCGCCCGCCACGCTCTGCCACCCCATTGGTGAGATTCTCCTCAACAAAGTTGGCTTGCTGTGGCGACGATGTGCGAATTGGGAGACGGCCCATGAAATCGCGGTTGCTTGTACCATCCATGTACCGACTGCCAGCGGGAATTATGGTTTACTATTGACGCCATTCCGGATTATCCCCTCGAGTCTTTAATTTTTCTTGTCGCCTGTGGCGTTGGAGGCGGAGTCCTAGCCCCCACACACCGATCTGGCGGGTTCTGCGTCGTGTTAGAGGCTCGACCCAACGCATCCGTACCATTTGCCTATGTCCTCGGGCTGCTGCCTTAGCTTGCCTTTTTTTTCAACTTCCGGCCTTTTTGGGGCTTCTCTTGTGCGCGCCGTCGTATTCGTCAGATGTCACTGCAGCTGCGGGTTTCTCGGGGCTTTCGCACGGCTGTTTTATCAACTCGTGGTCACAAGGACGATGTCAATGTCTTCAGCTTCACTGGTGGAGAGGCGCAGACACACGAATGACTCTCTTTCTCATCGAAAAAAAAGCGAAAGAAACGCACACCAAGCCTCTAATGTCTGGTGTTGGTCTCGTTGTTTAAAAAGATATCTCTCTTTTGTGTGGTGTTGCATTGCATTGCTTCTGCTAAAGTGAAGGAGACGCCTACATGAATCTTCAGGGTATCGGGTAGATTCTTCGCAATGTCCGACCGGCATGCAGAAACACGCCGCCAATTTCCCAGCACCGTCCCAAGGCTTCCTATACTGATTTTGTCATCGCAATGTGCGAGTGTTCTCAGCTTCAACTGCCCCTCCTCTGGACCAGATTCATAACCAAGCAAACAGTGGTGTAAATGCGTAGCACATACTACCTCATCTATCGTGGCAATACGTCATCAAAAAAAGTCCCTGGAACTGAAAACCCAGACGACGCCTAAAGAGATTGACGCTTGCATGCCGCATAACACGTGCCGGGGGGCGGATTTGCTCATGACCTCACGCTCTGCAAAATTCCGAACGCCCTCCAGTGCTCTCACTCTACGTTATGCCTAACCGCTGTCCATGTGTAAATCTTTGGCCGACTGAAGCTCTAGTTAGTACTGCAATTGAGAGAGATAGAAAGACGTCGCCGGTACAAGGTACGCCGTAGATAGTGCTTGGACTGGAATTCCAGGCATGGATGGGGGATGTCAAATTTCCCTTTCCGCCCGCCAATGCAAAAAGCCCAAAAAGGAGGGACTGGCCAGCAGGTTGACTGATGGATGATATTGGTGCCTCCACGTCCCAGCTTGTGGTGCTGCCCACCCAAAGGAAGACGCGCAGCACAGCACACGACTTTTGCACCTCCCGCCCCTCTTACAGTACGGGCGCCTCTTGGACATATGCTCGTATGTACAGTATCTAGCCTATAGTAGGTACTCTGTAGATAGCACAGCGCGGTCTGATCGATCTCCCAGCAAAGGGCACTTGGAAGGTTTTGGACCAACCAACTTAATGAGGTATAAGCCTCTGCCAGACGCCACTGAGACTCCTCACAGTCGAATGCCCTGAACGTCTGCAATTCCATTCGTGTGGGCGCTCAAGGGACATGGCAAGGGTTTGTATTGAGTACATGGCGCTCAAGTCGCCATCATCGCGTATCAGCTGCGGCTAGGCTCATGTTTGCTGCATATGCCACAGAAAATTGTTAAAAGGTACAAGTGACAAGGTAGCGAGCTACGTGAGTATCGCATGGCTAGCGTCACCTAGGCAGACCCACTTAGGAAAGTACCTCCGTACCCTCTTTCTTCCAAGTCGTTCCTTTGGGCGTCCTTCCTTCTTGCCTCTCAGCAGGTATACTTCTTTCCTTTTTCATTATCAACTCTTTCCTCAGGTTGCGAGACGACATTCTTCACCTTGCTCGTCGCGTATTTTATTATCCCAACTCATCGGCCCGCATATTCTCCCGAATCCCAAACCTTCTAGAATTTCATATCAGCCCAGATTCCCGTCTTTCATAGTCCCGACCTTCATCGCTCCCCGTCTTGCTCTAATTGTCTTGACACACTCATCAATCAGACGGGCATGCCTCTGATTTACCTCGTTTCACGGCCGCGCTGCTAATCTGCCGCCAATATGGTGCAACCAAATGTAAGTTTTCCGGCTGCAATATCCTTTATACTCTTACACGCTACATTTGGCTTTTTCAATTTTTTGTTTCATTTTCCTCGTGTCCATCTCGAATATCTTTGACCCGTCGCCTGGCTGCTCTGACATCCACAACAGGACTCCAAGTCTGCTGAACCGGAAGCAAATCCAACGTCAGAGCCAATGGCCAAGACGTCGCCCGGCTCGGGCGCAGCAGAAAAAGATACCGTCATTGACGTGGCCATGCCTTATGGGACTCGCTCTCGCAACAGGACGGCCAGTTCCCGTCCCAACTACGCTGAGGACAAGGACATTGAGATGGACATGTATGATTACTACCCCGACAAGAAGGACAGCGACTCCGGCAAGAAGTCGTCGCGACAGATGAATGGCGCCAGCAATGGCGATGCGCCTCGCAGCAATGGCACCTCACGCAAAAATGCTGCTGCCGCTGCCGCTGCCGCCGCTGCTGCTGCTGCCGCCGATGACACCAAGGCCAGCCCAGGCCAGAACGGCACCCAGGACTCAAAATCCGGCGGCACCATTCACGCATCACAGGCGGCGTCAGGAGCTGGCACGTCGCAGCCTTCACGGAAACGCAAGGCGGCAGCGAACCAGAACGGCACCGCGGCCGCATCAACTGCAACATCGGCAGCAGCAACGCCGCCCTCAACGTCGGCGGCGACTAAGAAGAGTGCCCTGGCGGCGCAAACCCAGCTTCAGGGCATGACGTGGCCCGAGTCCAACATGCTCACGTTCGAGACGTGCAAAGGCATGCCAGACAATGGGCGAATGGTGGCCGACGATGGCACGGTGCTGGAGGCGAATGGTAGGTAGCACGGCCGGGATCCACCTCCACCCTATGCGAAGGCAATTTCCACCTGCGGCGAGACCGGGCTAACAGACAATCTGGCAGATCACGTCTATCTTGTGTGCGAGCCTCCAGGAGAGCCCTACTATCTGGGGCGCATCATGGAGTTTATGCACGCCAGCAACGACACCGCCAAGGCCGTGGACGCGGTGCGCATCAATTGGTTCTATCGCCCCAAGGATATCGGGCGCAAGGCCAGTGACACGCGAATGGTCTTTGCCAGTATGCACTCCGACATCAGCCCCCTGACGGCCCTGCGCGGTAAGTGCGAGATCAGGCATCGGCTGGAGATCGAGGGCTTGGACGACTACCGTCGACGACCGGACAGCTTCTGGTTCGAGAAACTGTACGACAGGTACATCCAGAAGAACTACGATCTGATTCCCACCCGGCTCATTGTCAACGTGCCCGAAAAGGTCAAGAAGGTGCTGGACGAGCGCTGGAAATACGTGCTAGTCGAGCAGGGGCGTGGCAAAGAGCTGACTAGCGCCGTTAAGCTATGCAAACGATGTTCGTCGTACTGCGCCAGGTACGTATTGTCGACACGACCCTACAGCCCGCTTCATCGGGCCTAGGGCGGGTTTTTTCCTTTCTTTTTTCCTCCTCGGTCCCTGTCCTTGTCTTCCCTTTCGGTCTGCGTGTCTCTGCCTGAATCCTGTCCGTTGGTGTTTCCAGCTGCGGGACTGGCCAGCACGAGTACCGGCCACCACCTGGTCTGCCGACCGGTACCTTGTTGCCCGGCCCCTTTTGGCCCGAGGACAAAGTATCGACCAGGGTCAGAAGCTCTGGCTGCTACGTACTTGATCCATCGCCAACACCCACCCCCCCTTCTCTTAGCCCTGTCTAGGGAGAGCCCTTTTTTTTTTTCTTCAAGTGCCTCATAGGGCATCCCAATAGCCGCAGCCGTTCGACACCCCCCTCCCAT